ATATATATAATATATATATATATATATATATATTATTATATATAATATATATATATATATATATATTATATATATAATATATATATATATATTATATTATATATATATATAGGGAGGTACCACCTCTAGAACTGTTATAGGGACCCTCATCCTCGAGAAAAGAATAAACTTGCTTCAGGGAAAACTCAATATTCTCCCTGAAGCTGTTTGAGAATTTTCTCCTACCACCCCCTATATTATATATAATATATATATATATAATATATATATATAATATATATATATATATATATATATATTATATATATAATATATATATATATTAAAGACAAAATACATTGACAGAACATTCACAAAACTAAGATACAAAGTAAAACAACATAGGTAACTCAGAGCTACATCTCGAATACTTCGTCCAGCTCCCCGGCGGTGGGCCGCGTGCCCAAAATGCTGCAGGCATTTCCTCTCTGGATCGCAACACTGAGTCTCTGGAAGAGGAAGCTGGTCACCCTGTGGTCCTTTGTTTCTATGATGAGCTTTTCACCCAGTTCTATTAGGAACTTTAGAACACACTTGCTCCATGCTCCAAGGGTCTCTGACCCTATTGGGATGAAGTTATAGCAAGGGGGAAGGTCTTCATATTTGCTGATCTTCTGAGTCTCCCTGTGGCTGGCAGCTCCACCCCCTTCCACTACAGAGTATGGCAAGTAGGTGTCTGCCAATGTGGCGGCACATGTGTAGTCCCAGGCAATCTGCTTTCCATTCTTCCAAGGTAGCATAGTGGCTCCATCAGGACGCTTTAGACTTCCGTCAGACCTCTGCACTTGGGGTTCCTGTTGAGCTGGGCAACGGGCTGTGGCGAGGCTTCTCTTTATGATATCATTGACCTCCTCATGCCTGGCATACTTCCCTTCTGCTGTGTGACACACGAGACCATGAAGTCTGAATTGATCAGCTGTCGCCCTGCCGCAAATACACCTATGTTCGGTGAGGATGGGGGCGGCTAGGCGAAGAGCAACACCAATCCGAATGGCCTGTGGGTCTAGTCGAGTGCCCAAGGAGGAATTGGGAACAGCAAACAAGAAATCTCCTGAGTGTGGTGCTTTCACTGCCAGGAGACGAGCTTTGTCCTTTCCTGAGGCGTTGGAGAGCATTGTGTTGGCGATTTTTTCCATGATCGATTTGTCCCAGTGAGACTGTTTGTGTTTTTTGGGAGGAGCTGGTCTACTGGAGGAATCTGTAAGGGTGTCCCACCGAATCGCTGCTTCAGTAAACCTGGGGTCTTGAGCTCCTACATGTCTCTCAAGCGTTCGGGAACAATCTTCTTGACTAAAGCACTGGAAGCCAAACATGAAGACAGAAAGCAGGTAAGCAACATGCGTTTGCTTTGCGCACCCCTATACCTCCCAGTCATACTGGGAGGGTTGCCTGATCCCATTGCTGATCCTCTAGTGACAGGTTCAGTGCCTTCTTAGAGGTTGACCTCAGGTGTGCGTCATATTCGTCGAGTGTTGGGTTGTCAAAAGAGTGCACACCTGAGGAAGTAAGTGAGTCTTGGAATAGTAAGGCACCTTGTGAGGATTACAGAGCATCATGGGCATCCAAGATTGCTTTATTCTCTCCTCCACTCTCATCAGGTCATTCAATTTGTCCTTGAGGACTGTGTCGATGGCCTGGTGACCCAGCGGTGCTCCCAAGAGGGTACTGTTGGACGGAGTGGTAGTAGAGACTTCTGGAGATTCTTCGCACAGCATTGATTATTTCCTGGTTTGCTGTGATGATTTCACACTTGGAGGGATTGAGGATGAGTCCCAAGTCTTCTCCCTGTGTTTTTCACCAGTTGTAGGTCCCCTACCAGGGACTCTTCAGTACCTGCCAGAGTGCCATCTATCCAGGTACCAGATATTGAGCTCGCTGCTTAGGCTGGAAGTTAGTTCTCTTACTGCCAAGCAGAAGAGAAGTGGAGCTAGTGGGTCACCCTGCTGAACACCTTCTGATGAGAGAATTTCATGTTCTCCAAACAAAAGAATTGAGGGTTTGCTGTAGCCGGCTGAAATGAAGGGAAAAAGACTGGGGAAGCGATCCCGAACAGCTGGCAAAAACAGCATCTCTCTTTACATATTAAAGGCATTTCTAAAGTCAAGTTGACTACGGCCTTGTCTTCTGGTAGGTCCCTGATGTAGGCCCTTGCCGCATGAGCTGCAGCTTCACTGCCTTGAGGGACCCCAAAGCCCAGTTGGTGTGGCTGGAGTAAACTGGCAGCTTCTAGGCGAAAGTTTCTTACTGCTGCTTTGGCAACGAGACGGCGAAGAGTGTTTCCAACCGCAATGGGTCTGATTCCCCCATCCTTCTTCTTCAAGGCACACAGTGAGGCTCCAAAAAGAAAGGTTTAATTTCTTCTGGGATTCGCCCAGCCAGGCAGTTGTTGACGAAAGTTGTCAACTCGGTGAGAAGGAGTGATGCAGATGCACCGAGTACTGGATTTACCATCTCCTTGAGGTGCTGAGGTCGAATTCCAGTGTAACCTCCTGCAGATCCTGCAGGAAATGACACAATCGCCTTATAGACTTCCGATTCAGGCAAAATTAATTGTTCAGTGATGGGGTCTTCCTCAGGGTTGTTGTTGATGGCTATGGTGTCCCTGGTTGGATGCTTGTCTCTTAGTGCTTGGGCTGTGGTCTCATCTTTGGGGGCTACAGTGTCGTCACTTGTAATTATTCGGATTGCTCCCACTGTGTTACCTTCTTCAATTTTTTTGCTAACCTGTGCGCAAATTTTCTCGTTTTCAGTGGGACTTTTCTTGGGTCTACCTTTGTGATTCCTGCGATGATGGGGCAGAGGGACACAGTTATCCGTTCTTGGGTAGTTGCGCACTGCCTTGATAACTGACGTGGTTAGCAGTTTGCCTCGTCTCTCAGGAACTGCAAGACAGACATTGCCGAACAGGAGCAGGTTGCGCCATGCTTGGATGGTGCCTCGGGCTTCTAAGTTGGTGGAACCTCCATTCACCTGCTTGAGAAGGTCTGTGAACTTCCCTGCTGCATATGGGCGAGCCGCTTTAGGGATGTGGGATAGGGTACTGTTAGCAGTAGATTTGAATGCCAACAGAAGGTTATCACAAGTGAGGAGGTTTCCATTGTAATTGTCATCTGCCTGTGGAGGCTGTGGGCTGCTCTCTGCTGGGGGCATATGTGATCCTGCACACCCATTGTGTGCACGAATGCGGCCATCCCTGTTGCGTGCTCGAAACTCTCCGCACACCTGACATATGCCTCTTCTTTCATTGTTGGGTGCACTGTTTCCCTGGCTTTGTGGCTGGATGGCTTCATCATCTGCCATACCTCAAACTGTGTGGTAAGCCCAGGCTGAAGGGAAAATGGCAGATGGCACATACCGCATGTGGTTCATGGTGGTGGTAGGGGGAGGAGAGGGGTCTCCCCTCCTTGTGGTGGGTGGTGGAGGGAAGGGAGGAGTGGAAGATGTGTGATGAGGCGGAGTAGGGCACTCACTCCCTCCCAGGACAAGTCACTATACAACACAATGCTCTGAGCACCTGTTAATATACGCCACTATGCTCTGTGCACCTGTTACTATACGCCACTATGCTCTGTGCACCTGTTACTATACACCACTATGCTCTGTGCACCTGTTACTATACACCACTATGCTCTGTGCACCTGTTACTATACACCACTATGCTCTGTGCACAGCCCCCACTATAAACGACACGCCGCTTTACACTACACGTGCTATACGCATATCATGCTCATACTATGCACTATACACTATTTACACTATACACACGGTGAACAAACACTCCATTGTTGTGACACGAGCACACGGTGTATGCGCGCCTGTTTGGGGAAGGGGGAGACATAGTTTTACCCCTCAACCTCCGCCTCCTCCTCCTCCTCCATTAGGCCTTCCCTCACTGACCTCACCTACCCATGGTGACCGTTATGTTCCCTCACTGAATTCACATACACAACACTTTTCTTGATTCTGAAGGAAGAGACGAAACGCAGAGTCTTCTGACCCTTTCCAACACGCGCAGCAGATATTCACACACCAGCCTGTTGATAATAATCCTGGTAGGTGTTCTTGATTATACGATATTGTGCCAAAAACACAGAGCAGGATGCCTACAGCCTCTCCCTGGCAGAGGTGCCAGATATATATATATATTGTGTGTGTGTGTGTGTGTAATACTGTATATTTATTAATTATTCCTAAATTTCCAAATTAGCCAAGCTACAAGGCTGCATTTGTAAGTTTCTGGTCCCTATAAACATACATTTTAATTCTACAATGGCCAGTCTACAATAAATCGATCATGGTATATGACGTATTCACTTCAATAATCAGCAGATTTGGAAAAAAACAGCGACTTCCAGATTTAAACCCGAGTAGAAATGCCTACCTAAGTATTTATTTTGTTAGAAATTAATCAGGTAACCTACATAAACAAGAAAATTCCCAGAATATAATTGTTTTTGCTGGGCCAGAGTGTGGAGCCAGGCCTACTGTGTGTCCACCAGGCCTACTGTGTGTCCTTGTGTAAATATCTAGTTAACACTGTTATCAGTATGTTGACACTCGTGCAAGAAAATAAGAACCAGCGTTATAAAAACAGTCGAGAAAACTTGATATTAACTACCGACAAGATGGCGACAGTGACACTCATGCAGTGTAAAGAGATCCTTTTCTGACTATAAAAAAAGCCCCATTGCGTGGAGAAACGTTGTCACTAGTGGGTCTCTTTACACGGGACTTGTGTCTCTGCTTCTAGTGTAAAGTCAGTTCCTAGAACTGATGTAGGGTTCATCCCTACTATGTCAGCACTGCTAGATGATATATTGTAGCGTTCACAAGATCACCGCTAGATTACCATGCACCAGTTGAAGTCCAGCAATGGAGTAAAAAATCATCGAGAGACCTGAAAAACAAAGAAAACACAAGAAAAGCCCTAAGAATTGTTGTTGGTTTGCACTACAACTCACTCTGATAAACTGGAAACCTTCGACTGTGTCTGTGTCTGAGGCTGGACACCAGGCTGTCCACGCTGCAGAGTGACGCCATTGTAGTATCAACAGCTTCCGTCCCACCGCCACCACCTGCAATATGAACCCTGGTCAAAAAGAGTCATGCCAAGCGGAACGGGGTCAGGAGACGTGGAACGGGGTGAGGAGACGTGGGACGGGATGAGGAGACGTGGAACAGGGTCAGGAGACGTGGAACGAGGTCAGGAAACGTGGAACGGGGTCTGAAGACGTGGAGCGGGATCAAAAGACGTAGAACGGGGTCAGGAGACGTGGAACGGGGTCAGGAGACGTGGAACGGCGTCAGGAGACGTGGAACAGGATCAGGAGACGTGGAACAGAATTAGGAGACGTGGAGCGGGGTCAGGAGACGTGGAACGGGGTCTAAGCAGGGATAAAGAGGTTCAAGGGGACGTGGAACAGAGGTCAGGTGAAGTCAAGCGTCGAGGAGCAGGGGTCAGACGCTGTGGAACGGTGTCACAAGGGTTCCACTAGAGCCTAGTGTGGGGTAACACGGGGTCATCTGTTATGAGAGACGAGGTGAGGCCATCACACGGAGTCCAATAAGAGTGTTGTAAAATAGTTGGCAGGTTCGTACGAGGTCATGCAGAGGTAAACAGAATTATGAGATTAATACTTTTATATTTATGTACTTATTAGCAATTTATGTTGGCAGGAGACCTTATAAGATGCCGATTATAATAGTCACAGTAGTATACCATCCAAATTATATTAGTCACAGTAGTATACCATCAAGATTATATTAGTCACAGTGGTATAATATCCAGATTATAATAGTCACAGTAGTATACCATCGAGATTATATTAGTCACAGTGGTATAATATCCAGATTATAATAGTCACAGTAGTATACCATCGAGATTATTATAGTCACAGTGGTATAATATCCAGATTATAATAGTCACAGTAGCATACTATCCAGATTATAATGATTCAAAGTAATATACCATGAAGGTTGCAATGAATCACAACAGTACACCATCTAAGATGTAATGAGTAACAACAATACGCGTCTAAGCAAAGCTAATTCAAAAAGTTAATTTAAGTACGTTCAAGTCGTACAATTTAAAAAAAAATTACGAAAAAAATGTAAATTAAAGGAGAATGTCAGTTTTAAAATTAAGCATTAAAAATATATTCTGAGAAATCTCTCAGTGCGTCTTGGGTTGAAATAAGAACATTTTTATCAGCAGTATTCAACTCTGAGAAAACATTCTGAAGGGTCTTGATGAGAGGATCAGAAAACCCCACACCCCACCCACACACACACACACTTACCACACACACACACACACACACACCCCACACACACCCACACACAACACCCACACACCACCACACACCACAAATATTTAACAAGATATTTGATAATACCCAAAGAAACCAAAAAAAAGTCCCACCCAATAAATTAAGTGTAACTCTCTCAGTGGAGTGTAACACTCCTCGTGAGTGTAACACTCTCCAGTAGAGTTACACTCTCTCGTAGAGTGTAACACTCTCTCGTAAGTGTAACACTCTCTCAGTTAGAGTGTACACTCTCTCAGTAGAGTGTAACATCTCCAGTAGAGTGTAACACTCTCTCAGTAGAGTGTAACACTCTCTCAGTAGAGTGTAACACTCTCTCAGTAGAGTGTAACACTCTCTCATTTAGAGTGTAACACTCTCTCAGTAGAGTGTAACACTCTCTCAGTAGAGTGTAACACTCTTCAGTAGAGTGTAACACTCTCTCAGTAGTGAAACACTCTCTCATTAGAGTGTAACACTCTTCAGTAGAGTTTTAACACTCTCTCAGTAGGGGTTTTAACACTCTTCATTAGAGTGTAACACTCTCTCAGTAGAGTGTAACACTCTCTCAGTGGAGTGTAACCACTCTCTCAGTAGAGTGTAACACTCTCTCATTTAGAGTGTAACACTCTCTCAGTAGGTGAACACTCTCTCAGTAGAGTGTAACACTCTCTCAGTAGAGTGTAACACTCTCTCAGTAAAAGTGTAACACTCTCTCCAGTAGAGTGTAACCACTCTCTCAGTAGAGTGTAACACTCTCCCCAGTGGAGTGTAGCACTCTTTCAGTGGACTGTAACACTCTCTTGTAGGTGTAACACTCTTCAGTGGAGTGTAGCACTCTCTCAGTGGACTGTAACACTCTTTCAGTAGAGTGTAACACTCTCTCAGTGGAGTGTAGCAGTCTTTCAGTGGACTGTAACACTCTCCTCAGTAGAGTGTAACACTCTCTCGGGTGGAGTGTAACACTCTCTTAGTAGAGTGTAACACTCTCTCGTGGAGTGTAGCACTCTCTCAGTGGACTGTAACACTCCCTCAGTAGAGTGTAACACCCCTCACAGTGGATTTTAACACTCTCTCAGTGGAGTGTAAACACTCTCTCATGGGTGTAACTCCCTCAGTGGAGTGTAACACTCTCTCGAGGAATGAAAACACTCTCAGTAGGTGTAACACTCCCTCAGTAGAGTGTAACACTCTGTCAGTGGAGGGTAACACTCTCTCAGTAGAGTGTAACACACTCTCAGTGGTGTGTAACACTCTCTCAGTAGAGTGTAACAATCTCTCAGTAGGGTAACACTCTCTCTTAGTGGAGTGTAACACTCTTTTAGTAGTGTATAACACTCTCTCAGTAGAGTACCACTCTCTCAGTGACGTGTAACACTCTCTCAGTGGAGTGTAACACTCTCTCAGCTGAGTGTAATACTCTCTCAGTGGAGTGTAACGCTCTTTCAGTAGATGTAACACTCTTTCAGCAGAATGTAACACTCTCTCAGTAGAGTCTCTAAAGTACTATAAGAGAATGTAGACTCCCTTTCATACGATCTCCAGAGAAAATAATAACCATCTAACAGATCCTTCCAAGAGATCTTTCAAGAGTATCTTAACACAGGATATCGTGAGAGTCCTACAAGCCTGGGAGAGTCTTCCCGAGAGGCTGGTCACAGGATGGGGGTGAGTGCAGGATGACGTACCATTCTGAGGTGCGAGCCTCCGGGCCGGGAGATAGCGTACAGGTGGCAGCCTTTGGTCTTTTCCAGACGGTGATCCTTGAGGTCAACCTTGCCCTTGATGCGCTCCTCATCCCCCTCGAAGTCAGAAAGTCGGAACACGTGGATCTTCCCGTCACGACCTGTTAGTGTGGTGGAGGAACAGTGTTAGTGTTACTGAGGCAGAAGGATCAGTGTTAGTGTTACTGAGGCAGGAGGAACACTGTTAGTGTTACTGAAGCAGGAGGAACAGTGTTAGTGTTACTGAGGCAGGAGGAACACTGTTAGTGTTACTGAGGCAGGTGGATCAGTGTTAGTGTTACTGAGGCAGGATGATCAGTGTTAGTGTTACTGAGGCAAAGGGGGAACACTGTTAGTGGTTACTGAGGCAGGAGGATCAGTGTTAGTGTTACTGAGGCAGGAGGATCAGTGTTAGTGTTACTGAGGCAGGAGGATCAGTGTTAGTGTTACTGAAGCAGGAGGATCAGTGTTAGTGTTACTGAAGCAGGAGGAACACTGTTAGTGTTACTGAGGCAGGAGGAACACTGGTTAGTGTTACTGAGGCAGGAGGATTCAGTGTTTTTGTGTTACTGAAGCAGGAGGATCAGTGTTAGTGTTACTGAGGCAGGAGGAACACTGTTAGTGTTACTGAGGCAGGAGGAACAGTGTTAGTGTTACTGAGGCAGGAGGATCAGTGTTAGTGTTACTGAAGCAGGAGGATCAGTGTTAGTGTTACTGAGGCAGGAGGATCAGTGTTAGTGTTACTGAGGCAGGAGGAACACTGTTAGTGTTACTGAGGCAGGAGGATCAGTGTTAGTGTTACTGAGGCAGGAGGAACAGTGTTAGTGTTACTGAGGCAGGAGGATCAGTGTTAGTGTTACTGAGGCAGGAGGATCAGTGTTAGTGTTACTGAAGCAGGAGGATCAGTGTTAGTGTTACTGAGGCAGGAGGAACACTGTTAGTGTTACTGAGGCAGGAGGATCAGTGTTAGTGTTACTGAAGCAGGAGGATCAGTGTTAGTGTTACTGAGGCAGGAGGATCAGTGTTAGTGTTACTGAGGCAGGAGGATCAGTGTTAGTGTTACTGAAAACAGGAGGTCAGTGTTGTGTTACTGAGGCAGGAAGGATCAGTGTTAGTGTTTTCTGAGGCAGGAGGAACACTGTTAGTGTTACTGAAGCAGGGGATCAGTGTTAGTGTTATACTGAGGCAGGAGGATCAGTGTTAGTGTTTTCTGGGGCAGGAGGATCAGTTTTTAGTGTTATGAAGCAGGAGGATCAGTGTTAGTGTTACTGAAGCAGGAGGATCAGTGTTAGTGTTACTGAAGCAGGAGGATCAGTGTTAGTGTTTACTGAGGGAGGGGAAAAGGGAAAACTGTTAGTGTTAATGAGGAGGAGGAACACTGTTAGTGGTTACTGAGGCAGGAGGATCAGTGTTAGTGTTACTGAGGCAGGAGGATCAGTGTTAGTGTTACTGAGGCAGGAGGATCAGTGTTAGTGTTACTGAGGCAGGAGGAACACTGTTAGTGTTACTGAGGCAGGAGGATCAAGTGTTTGTGTTATGAGGCGGAGGAACACTGGTTAGTGTTACTGAGGCAGGAGGATCAGTGTTTTGTGTTACTGAGGCAGGAGGGTCAGTGTTTTGTGTTACTGAGGCAGGGGAAACAGTGTTAGTGTTACTGAGCAGGAGGAACCCCTGTTAGTGTTACTGAGGCAGGAGGAACACTGTTAGTGTTACTGAGGCAGGAGGATCAGTGTTAGTGTTACTGAAGCAGGAGGATCAGTGTTAGTGTTACTGAGGCAGGAGGATCAGTGTTAGTGTTACTGAGGCAGGAGGAACAGTGCTAGTGTCACTGACACGACGTGAGTGTTTGACGTTCCTCTTTCTACAGTAATGGTAAGTCTGAGATCAGTGTCAGTGGACTGATATAAGATTCCCACACACCTGCACCATAGCCACCTGCTTGCACGTGCTCTGTGGCAGAGCTGCCTTCACTCTTTTCAAGAATTTTTTTTATGTTATTTCCTGTGTAACTGTGGAGACCTCGGAGAAATTTTAGGAAAGTTTTATTTCATATAAACATTTCAATGTTTTTTTAATACATGTTAATTGTTGATGGTGTATGTTATTTGTGTTACAATCACTACCACACACTATCCTTCACTGTTACCACCATGACTACCACACACCATCCTTCACTGTTACCATCACTACCACACACCATCCTTCCCTCCTTCACTGTTACCATAACTACCACACATCATCCTTCCCTCCTTTCACTGTTACCATCACACTACAACACCCATCCTTCCCCCCCTTATTTTTACCATCACTACCACACACCATCCTTCCCCCCCTTCACTGTTACCTCACTACCACACAACATCTTTCACTGGTTACCATAATTACCACACCCATCCCTTTCCCCTTCTTCATGTTACCATTTAAATACCACAATCATCCTTCACTGTTACCATCACTTTCCGCACACCATCCTTCACTGTTACCATCATTTACCACACAATATCCTTCCCCTTCACTCTTAACCTCACTACCACACACCACCTTCACTATTACCATCATTACCACACACCATCCTTCCCCCCTTCACTGTTACCATTATTACCACACACCATCCTTCATGTTTTCCATCACTACCACCCCACCATCCTTCCCTCCTTCACTGTTACCATCACTACCCACACACCATCCTTCATGTTACCATCACTACCACACACCATTTTTCACGTTTCCATCACTACCACACACCATCCTTCACTGTTACCAAACATACCACACACCATCCTTCACTGTTTTTCCATCACTACCACACACAATCCTTCACGTTACCATCACTACCACACACCATTCCCTTCACTGTACCATCAATACCACACACCATCCTTCACTGTTACCATCACTACCCCACCAATCCTTCACTGTTACCCTTTACTACCACACACCATCCTTCCCTCCTTCACTGTTACCCTCGCTACCAACACCATCCTTCACTGTTACCATCACTACCACACACCATCCTTCCCCTGTTACCTTTACTATCACACATTACCATTCACTGTTACCCCTCACTACCACACACCATCCCTTTACTGTTTTCCATCACTACCCCACACCATCCTTCACTGTTACCTCACTACCCACACACCATCCTTACCTCCTTCAAATGTTACCATCACTACTGCACACCATCCTTCACTGTTGCCATCTTACCCACACATCACTCACTGTTACCATAAACTACCACACACCATCCTTCATGTTACCCTCACTACCACACACCATTTCCTTCACTGTTACCATCACTAAAACCCCAATACTTCCCTTCTTCAATGTTCCATCATACCACACACACCATCCTTCACTGTTACCATCACTACCACTCACCATCCTTCCATTCCTTCACTCTTACCATCACACCACACACCATCCTTCCTCCTTCACTTTACCAATCATACCACACCCCGCTTCCCCCCTTCCTGTTACCATCACTAAACCCTCGCCATCCTTCCCTTTTTTCACTGTACCATCACTACCACACACCATCCTTCACGTTACCACCAATACCACACACCATTTCCTTTTAAAGTTACCCTAATTACCACACAAACCCTCCTTCTGTCCTTCACTGTTACCATCAACTTACCACACACCATCCTTCACTGTTACCATCACTACCACACACCATTCTTCACTGTTACCATCATTACCGCACACCATCCGTCCCTTCTTCACTGTTACCATCACTACCACACACCATCCTTCACTGTTACCATCACTACCACACACCATCCTTCACTGTTACCTTCATTACCACAAATCATCCTTCACTGTTACCATCATTACCACATACAATCTTTCAACGTTACCATCACTATCACACACCATCCTTCTTGTTACCATCATTTCCACAAAACTATCCCTTTACTGTTACCATCACTTTCCACACCATCCTTCACTGTTACCAATCATTACCGCACACCATTAAAGTCCCTTCTTCATGTTTTCCTCACTACCACACACCATCCTTCACTGTTACCATCATTACCGCACACCCCCATCCCTTCTTCACTGTTACCATCACTCCACACCATTCTTCACTGTTACCATCATTACCCCACACCATCCGTCCCTCTTCATGTTACATCACTACCACACACCTCCCTTTAATGTACCCTCACTACCACCACACCATCCTTCACTGTTCCATCATTACCACAAATCATCCTTCATGTTACCTCATTACACATACAATCTTTCAACGTTACCATCACATCACACACCATCCCTTCATTGTTACCATCATTACCAACATTCCTTCACTGTTACCTTTATACCAAAACACCATCCTTCATGTTACATCACTACCACATCATCATTCACTGTTACCCTCACTTTCCACACGCCATCCTTACCTCCTTCACTGTTGCCCTCACTTTCCACACACCATCCTTAACTGTTACCATCATTACCGCACACCATCCTTCACTGTTACCATCACTACCACACACCATCCTTCACTGTTACATCACTACCCCACACCCCTCCTTCACTGTTACCATCCATTACCGCACACCAAACCTTCACTGTTACCATCATACACACACCATCCCTTTAACGTTACCATCCTACCACACACCATCTCAACGGTTTCATCACTATCACACACCATCCTTCACTGTTACCCTCACTTTCCACACACCATCCTTCATTGTTACCATCATTACCACAACCATCTTCACTGTTACCATTTACTTCCACACACCATCCCTTTAACGTTACCATCAATATCACAACCATCCTTCATTGTTAAACCATCATTACCACACACGATCCTTCATGTTTTCCATCACTACCACACAAACCCTCCTTCACTGTTCCACATACACAACCATCCTTACCTCCTTCACTGTTGCCATCACTGCCACACACCTCCTTAACTGTTACCATCACTGCCACACCCCCATCCCCTCAATGTTACCATCATACCACACACCATCCTTACCTCCTTCACGTTACATCACTACCACACACCATCCTTCATGTTTACCACAACTACCCACACCCCCATCCTTCACTGTTACCATCACTACCACACACCATCCTTCACTGTTACCATCACTACACA